GTCAGTCATTCAACCGCAACACTCAATCCAAGAAATATTCAAATGAACCAATAAAAGTCACTCTCGTCGCATTGCACGATCATGATTATATTCAATAATCTCATCCGAAGTGATAACCGAACTACTCGAATCAATTCGTTCCTTCCACCATCACCCCAACCTTACCTGTTACTATTGTCAGTTCCAGTTTTATAGGCAATCCAGTACCATCCGACGAGACGTACTTTACCCGTTATCGCAACTCCTCACAGTGGCACAAATATGTCATTATTTCTTGGTCGCCACTTTCAATGTTGAATCAAGGCTTATCGTTGATGAAATCATTGTATCATCAAGAAGCCGTCAGTTAATATCGTCCCAAGAGATCATTGTGCTCTATAACGCCTGATTCAAAGGCGACTTATCAAGTGATATACCTCCTCACACATCCCAAACGTCCATCAATGAATATCATGCACAAAGCATACCTATTCCTGATGAATATCGTACTGTCCAACCATCTGACGAAGTTCCATCAGAAGATCAATATTTCACCAAACTTCTTACAGTAGTAACAGCCTCTCAACAGATGAAACAACGACAAAGGAATACAACAAGAACAGACGAAGAAAAAACAAAATAAAAGAAAAATTAAAATAAAAAATAAAATAAAATAAAATAAGTAAAAAAAATAAAAAATAAAAAAAATAAAACAAAAATAAAAAAAGAAAAAATAAAATAAAAAAAATAAAAATAATAAAAAAGAAAAATTAAATTTAAAAAAAAACACTGATGCCAAAGAAGAATGGCATCATAAAATTTTCTTCTTTGCTGATAGTACCGAGAAACTGACTTTTAAGATCTCAAGGGCAGATTTAGCTCAAAGCGACTTTTGCGGGGTGATAAGACGGCTGAGAAACCATTGAATTAGTGAAACACATTACTCGAGTTTCTCGGTACCTATGAGGCTTTATGGATTTTTAAGAATATTTTCATATTAGTCGCGTAATATGTACTCGATAGACGATTTATTTTGCTGTTCTGTTCATACCTTGTGACAGATATCGGCACTCTAATTGTAAGGCCGTTTAGGCCAAATCCATTTCCTGAACACTCCTCAGTAGTATTGGGGAAGTTGAAAGATTCATTCAAATGATGAGAGTCTACTTCTACTATCCGAAGAGTGTGCCGATATTTGCTTTACAGTATGCTCGTATTGAATGTATCGTTACAGACAAGTTTATTATAACCGATTGCCTTTATGATAGCGCTAAGTATTATTG